GCATGATCAAAACAATATCCTTCCGCTCATCACATTGCTGTGGATCATCCTGGAAAAGGATGTTTTCCAGACATATTATAATTATTGCGACCTCTCTTCAACATGCGATGTTGGTGTCTGTATATACTATCAGTAGACCCAGGAAGAATGCTGGTTTTACGAAGTCGGGTGAGCAAGTCCAGGGAATCTTGCTAAGTTCGCTGCCACTCCTGTCGATATATAAGTGTTTCATCTGTACTTGATGCTCCTTGAAATACAACTGACCTACCATCATGCTATACTCCTTCTTTCGTAGCAATTGATGAATGAGTGGTATTTCCCCTTGAGGGGTGTCAATGGTGTCTAATTTGGTGTGATGACGACAAAAGTCATCCTCATGAAGCCTGGAGAGTAGAGAAGTCCAAGGATTGCTCTTCTTGGATGGCTCTGCGTCCACAACTTTACTATTCATAACATCTTCCTAAATATTGCGCACGCTTCAATGCCTTCCTTCATTCTTCTGCACTAATAAATATTTTAAAGGGTTTATTGCACAACGATGTCACAATCTCTGTTATTGGAACTGGATTATTGTGGATAGACAAAAGTTGGGTGGCAAAATAGCAGAAAGCTATTTTCGAACTGTAGGATTGGGTTGTTTCTATTGTAACAGCTCCTGGACACCTAGAACTACCATAAATATCCCTTGCATGTGTGTGTGTGTGTTTTTGAAGGAAAAGCCTGGTGATGTGACATTCATTCCACGTCCCTATTGCTCAATGAAACAAAAATCGGTAAATTTGCTTTTAGCAACTTGCAACATCGTGTCCCTTGTAGATAGTTCTGTCCCTGATTATAATATCATTCATTCCATCCCAGTGTCCAACAACTTGAGCTCACCGCCGAAACCCAATCTTTTCCAACTCTTCCATTTGATGATCCGTCAACTTTACGCCGGTTCCCTTGTAATTTTGTCGTTGTCGAATCATCCAGTCGTACAGAGGCAAGTTCTCAGTGTGCTTTACTTCCAAGTGTCCATGTTCCTTCCAAAACTGGACAAGCTCATTGTACCACAATTGCCAATCAAACTCATTACGATCCGATCTCCACGGAAAACCAATTCGACAATTGACTTTCCAAGAAAAACCAATCTTGTCCAATAATGTGATCTGATTCGTCGGGAGCCGACCTTTCTCCCATTTCATTCGTTGTTTTTGTGACCACCTGTAGAGATCAGTGTCTCTTGCGATTTAGTCGGCGGGCAGTGTCCATGCTTCTTTGGAATCGTTCAAGCGCTTTGTATTTGGCGTTCCACTTCAAGTCATGTCGCTGGGGTTTCCATGGGAATCTAATTTCATCCAACAATCTTATTTGTTCCTCCGAAAGTGGCACATTAATCCTCTGGCCATTTCCTCGCTGTCACGATCGTTGCATGGACATCCATCTATGAAGCCCTTCCGTCTGAGCTACACAGAAATCCCCATGTTTATTCCGATAGTCGACAAGTTCTTTGTAATGCTTCATCCATATCGAATCACGACGTTCGGGTGCCTCCCATTCGAAACCTATGTTATCTAATTAGGTTGATTTGTATTTCGGAGAGTTTTGCATATCGACTCTTACTTCTCTGTTTTTTTGCGCTGATTGGCTTTCCACACCTGAAGTTGGCGATTTTCCTTTTCCGAAACAAGCAAATGTCCATTGTCATTGTGATATACTGCACTAGCGCATGGTAGTTGTCATACCATCGAGCAAATTTGGTACTAAACTCAAATCCAAGCTCTTTCAAATGACGAAAACGAACCCTACAATCGAACATTTGTAGAGTGTTTCTGTGATTTTTGGTAAGCCATCTTCGTTTCTTTTTGTATTCGAGGCGCTGAGCCCGACAAAAGTTTGCTAATCTTGGGTATTCCTTCTCAAGTGTTGCAATTGTCCATATTCTTCTTTGAACGCAAGGAGTTCCTCAAATTGCCCATCCCATGGAGCGGCCGACATTTGTGGTTCTTCATCAGTGGTGGTGACAGTAGCATCGGCTTTCCTCGTGCCAACAGTAGCCGAGAAGAGACCTACTGTCGTCGGAGGGTGCTGAATCGAGGAGGAAGGACTGAGTTGAAATGCCTCCCCAAGAAATGGCTGAAGCAATAGCACGAACATCGCATCGCTGAAGCCATTGTAAGAAACGTCATAACATCATAATAATGTCTACCAGATAAAGGCTTCCTGCTGAGAGTTGGTTGGATCTTCGACATTCGATATATGTATATATATATTGGGTTTTGGATAATCTAATGAGAGCATGCGTCCTGCTTATTGGACTGACTCACTCTGCCTTAACGCTCAATGCTGGACTCCCTGCCAAGATCTCGATTGTTTGTTCAATATTTGGGGTTACGCTGTTGAATGGTACCTACAGTATGCTGTTTCGTATTGAAAGATGGATGGATGGATGACAATGTGCACGATGGACACTTGTTTCCGACATCATACGGGGCAAACACGTGCACGCGGGTGAACTGAATGAATCGAGTCATCAAGTAGCTCGCTCAAGGTGCCCGCACCTAGGGTAAAATTATGTGGTTACTGTTATCGTCCCGATGTGTGCATATAGTTTCAAAATCGACTCAAAAGTTGATCACTATAAGATGCCCTCCTTCCTACGCTTGTACCGTGATTTCGAGCCTGTATGATAGAACAAGTAAGGCCCGTACCTTACTCTTGCAGCGAACGCTGGAAAGAACACAGTAAACAGGTCTATAGTAGTACCTCACAGACGAAGATGTGAATGTAAATTGATTCATTCATTGATTCATTTTTGTGTCTCATATTGTAGAAAGTACCGAGAACTAAATCAATATCATTCGGGCTGTGTTGTTTTGGGCATAATCCAAAATCGAGTACACATGTACTAGTACATGCTCTGATACCTACCTACAAGTATACTAATATCATTACTAGACCCAGGAATGCGCAGCAATGCCTGTTTTACGAAGTCGGGTGAACAAGTCCAGGGAATCTTGCAAAGTTCCCCATGCAGTACGCTGCCACTGTCGATACAAGTGTTTCATCCGTACATGATGCTCGAAATACAACTGATCTACCACCGTGCTATACTTCTCTTGTAGCAATTGATGAATGAGCGGTATTTCCACCTGAGGGGTGTCAATGTCCAATTTGATGACAACAAAGTCATCTTCATGAAACCTGGAGAGTAGAGAAGTCCAAGGATTGTTCTTCTTGGATGGCTCTGCGTCCACAGGAATATTGAACCAATGGTACGAATCTAATAGGAATTCAGGAATCTTCTCGAACACTTGTGCTGGTGGCAGTGGTGTGTATTCAAAGGCATAGTAATGGTCAAAGGTGACCCCAAACTGTTGATACAATTCCAATAATGTCAGGGCCGGATTGTCTACGCCACCGTGAAATTCCAACGAAGCTCCCAAATCGAAAAACACAGTCCGTGCCTTGGGGTGCTTGGTCAAGTGTCGACATATGGCGCCAAAGTCATGAACCAAGTAATCAATTTCCAATAAGTGATCAAGACTGAAAGGGTCTTCACAAAACTTTGGATGTCGCAATGGTGGTAACAATTGCTCAACGTAGCCTCCTCGGGTTAACGACAATGCATTCGTTTGAAATATGGTGTCCCCCCCATCATCACCGTCTTGCTTCCACAACAAATCGTTCATGGATCCACACAATGCTTCCTGTTCTTCCGGCGGTACTTCCCGCAAATCGTGGACGGATGTGTGAAACCCCTTCACAGCTTCCGCATACTGATCGAGGCTTTCGACCACATCGTGATATGGTTGATAAAAGTCGGTCCGATTGGGATTCAGAAACAAATCGCATTCGTCAATAAATTGCACATCGTACCGAAAGTCCTCTCGGGTGGTCGAAACCTTCATCATTGCCTCTTCCAATTGCCCCGGAGTATAGGGGGAGGATCCTTCAATGAAACTCTCAGCTGTCGTAGGAGACAATGTCGGTGCTCGTGTCGGTGGTGTTCTCGGCTGGAACAACAAGATCGAAAGCAATGATGATCCGTTGCGTTTGAAAGAATACAAGAGCACCAACAGGATTGTGAGCAACATCATCAAAAAGACATGTCTCGGTCTCTTATTGTAAATGATGGCGGTTCTTAAACGCATGAAAGCCTTGTTTGGCTTGTAAACTTTTGGCATTGTATAGTGCGAATATGCGGTGTGATCAGTGTGATATTGATATTGATATGATATGGAGATATTAGGATATGACTTCTGTCACATATACACAGTATTGTACGTATGCGGTGTGATGGGTGTGATGGGTGTGATGATGAATGATGCGAGATGCGTACCGGTACGCAGTATACATATGTATCGTATGCGTACAGTATTGTCTATCTGGGACGCCGATGTGACTCGAATATAAAGCAACGCGAGTGGCGGGCAATGATACGGGAGACATTGATATGAGGCGACGAGTGGACGGGTTTTGCTGACAGCAGGAACGGTCGACGTACACACGCTGTTCTATTTTCATCACAATTGGTAGGTAGGTAATAATCAACGCCTCATCATCATCATCATCATCATCATCATCATCGCGTCCATAGCCATCCACATATTTTGATCTATCACACAAACCAACTACATCCAGCGTCCAACAAACAATCGACGTTGTTTCGTCTTCAGCGTCAACGTATAGGCAGATCCCTATCCCTACAGTAAGTAGCTAGTACTAGTAGGGCAGGTAGTAGTACATAGTAGCTACTAGTACTAGTAGTGAAAAAATCACACCATTGCGATTCTACAATATCAACCTGGCATCCATAAAACTAACCAACGCTCCTATGATCAGGCCACCTTCATCTGATAGACATTATGATGTGATGACGTTTCTTATCATGATGGTTTCAGCTGTGATGTTTCGTGCCATGATTGCTTCAGCCATTTCTCGCTGAGCTAACACTGCAGTCAGCATTGCTTTCAACAGAGCCATATGCTTCATCGCTTCACCTTCCGACTTCTGGTGGTGCTACAAAAGAAACATGATAGGAGATGATGCCGCTGTGACGATCAGGAGCACTGATGACGAAGAACCACAAAGGCAGAAGAATCACTGCAGCCTCTCATTGGGACGAGCAGCCAATTTGAAAAACTCCAGGGTTGGGGGTTAGGGCTAGTGAGTGTATGTATCATCTCAACTATATTCCGCCCATCAACTCTGTGATTTTGTATATATAAAAGATACATGACTTCCGCCATCGGACTTTTTCGTTACATAAAATATTATACCGGTACGTAATACGATATGTAAGAAGTTAGTTACCGCGGTATTGGTTTCACCGAATCCATGAAGTCGACTCTATCGACTGCTTACACCCATAGTATGCTTATGTACCAATTCTACGTCCATGCATCGGCTGGAAGCAACCAACGTGAAGTCCATTTCTGCCCACGTGAAGTCTTTTTGGAAAACGTGAATTTTCGAAAGTCACAAACAAACAATAAAAAATTGGAAATTGCCTCCACGAGCACACCATGATGAGGACGATTAGGATGAGGAATGCATGAATCAATATGCATGTCGTTTCTTTCTTTACTCTTTGGTCATGATAATACTACTATGATCAATCATGATGCATACATAATATCAGTATCAAAATCAACGCAAGTCAAGTAAAGTAAAGTCAAGTCAAGTGAGGCAGAAGAAGAAGAAGCTACGACAAGAGCAACGTTGTTATACCATGATTGATGTTGTGTACTATGTGTGTGTCCCATGCCACAAAGACGAGCAAGAATTGGTGCGTTTTGGCTCCTGATTGATTGATTCATTGATTTTAGCAGCCAGCCAGCCATCAGCAGCACCAGCATGACGACGACGACAAGAACAAAGACTATACACACAATTTGAAATTTCGTGCATCCAGCAACTGAACCTTCTTTGCGCCCATTCTTGATGGGTTGGTGCATGTACACATATGTACATGTACACATGCATGCATGTATGCATCATGTCCAAATTCATCTAGTCATGTACACAAACATCATGGCGGACAACCATCCACGAGGTGGTTTTGATTGGAGCTCCAAGAAGAACGACATCTTTTTGGGTATGGAATACTACTACTCTGCTGATTGATGGATGATCTACCACAACACGAGACTATTTTGGTGTGTCTTGCACTTCTTTGATCTACTCTTTTGTTTTCTATCGATTTGTTGTTGTTGGTGGCGTTGTTGTTGTTGTTATTGTTGTCGTTCATGAGACGATATATTTTCGTATCACGTTTGCAGTAGTGAATGATTCTACTTTTCTCCATTGTCCAAAAGCCTCCAAGCAACGATTGATTCATACACATTCCCCCATTTCAAAATCACACACTTTCCCCCCTATTCATCCATTCGTCGGACGTGACAAAACCCACACCCAAAATTGGGCACGCGCCTGCCAAAAATATCGATCCATGCACAGCGTTAAGTTCGATTCACGGACCGAAAGTTTTGTTAAATGAAAGGAGGAAGCGAGATAAACAAAGATCAATTAACCAAAGGATATTATGCATGTCTCACTTGTTAAGAAAAGAGGGCCCAACCAAGTCGGTCGCATAATTGTTTCCTTTTCAAGATCCAAAACCTTAACAAAGATACCATTCTGAAGTCCCAACAAGCCTTAAATGGCGAAACCACAACAAATTCCAAACCATCCCAAGCAACCTTGAAAACCGCGTCCCAACAAACACAGCAACAAAACAAAGAGCTCTCAAGTGACTTGACGCTTGACAGTACAGCAGCAACAGTATCGTACCGAGACAGCACAGTAGCAGTAGCAACCTCACAATTCAGTAAACAAAGACAAAGACAAACAAAGACAAAGACACAATGCGGCGCGATGAAGGAAGTCGACGAGGCGACGCCATTCGCGCTCATTTGCAACAATATTGCGTCTTGCCGCACTTGAGCAAGGCCACCCTGTTTGTGAGTCTATTACGAATCATGAGCGCTAGTTTGGCCCTCTTTGTAGCCTTGACGGAACAGCTGTTGGCAGTCAAGGTCTTTACCTTTGCACTCGCCTCGTATCAAATTGCGTGTTTGCTATTGCAATGGGCTCCGGAAGAACGCGTGAATCCGTACGCCAGCGTGTACGAATTCACCAAGGCCAAGTACGAGCTAACCAAGGTGGTTCTGGCTACCATTACGGCAATCATCATGGCCATTTGCTTGCCCTATTTGGCGTATTACACAGAGGAACCCCATTGGCGACATGCCGGTTGGGGAGTCTTGTTGTTTGTCCTACCGGCCTTTTTGGACTATCGCATCCGCCGTTCCTTGGCCCTCTTGTTTATGGTCAAGCCGGAAAACAAGGAAGACGACGACGATGGTGCCGAAATTGACTTTCAATTGACGTCCTTGTGGGTCGGAAAGTACTTTTTGCTTCCCGTAGAATTTGGAGCAATCGCCGCGTTTGCCTTGTGTTCCTTGCAAGTCCCCCATTGGACCATTGCCGGGGCAGTCTTTGTCAACATTGCTTCTCTGTCACTTGGAATCCTCGCCAAAATGTCGCCTGGTTCCTGCTGGATTGATGGAGATGGCAAATTGTACATTCCCATCAATGCCACGGAAGCAGATTTGTCCTATGCCGGCTATTTGATTGCTTCTGATTTGATCATTGATGACGACGTTGGTTACTTTGCCGCGGGACACGTCGCTGGATACGTTCCCAAAATTTTGCATTGGATCAATTACGCCGGTTTGCCCCAAGCGGGAAAATGGGGCGAAGTCTTGGGCGATGGCGATAGCGAAACGGGATGCGAATTGTGCGTGGAAAAGTTTGCCACCAACAGCATCATGTACCAACATTTGGGACAAGCGTACATTCAACTAGGCAATCAAGTCTTTGAAATTAGAGGGGGGTGCATTGAGAATTCGGCCAACCCTATCTTACTAGAACATGCCAAGCCTATCAATGGGTGTTGGGAGGTCATCTAAATAATAGACACCTCAGGAAGGGAGGAAAGAAAGAAAGAAAGAAAGAAAGGATACTGATATATATTGATGTGATTCAACATTATATTATTTACATATATACGATTAGTGTATACATACTTACAATTTGAATTTATTGTGTCTGTAGTCAACAAACCCAAAAGCAAAGCATTCTGAAGTCGGTGCAATTTAGTAATAAGTTCGATTGGATGGACTGAATGAATCAATCATCGCATTTGATTCATTCGTCTGACTGGGTATGATAATATTCCAGTTGCAATGGGTGCCAGGATGGAACGTGCTTTTGCTATGCCCTATATCGCCAAAAACTTTGTCGCAAGAAGAAGTGGCAAGTGAGGAATGAATCTACTAGTATACATGACGATGGCGATTACTATGATGACAAGATTGCAAAGGGCCAGTATATATATAGCTGTGCCTACTTCTGCTTCTCCTTCCAATCCATCAACACCACCACATACCTGCACTCTTGAAAATGATTACGACTACGTAGTATCAAAGATCTTTCCTTCAGGAATTGAATGGAGTGGATTGTGGTCACCACCTGAAAGCCAATACTGCTTATGAATGGATGGAGTAGCTTTGCTAATTATCGACAAGAAGGCGACGGAACTTATGATAATCCAGATCCGAGAATGCTGGTCTACACGGGAGCAATCCGATGACATTTGTGACCTTCAAGGCGAGAGGACACGAGCTGATAGGGCCTTGAGTTTTGCAACTCCTCTTGATCCAGAACCCACCAAAGCTGACTAGTAGAGCAGATGGAGGTACAATGTCCATATGGAAGACAATATCCAGTACATTTGGTTTTCCGATACTTCTGACGCCAGCAATACTACCACCGTCTTGTTCAAATACCCACTGCTGACATGTCGATTGCCGTTTATACTCAACACGTCCTGTCCGATACAACGGCGCACGTACTCAAAAAGCAAGACACAGAAGAATGTGTATTTCCAACTAGAATGACACTATACTATCCAATGGAACTGGACGACGATGTCCTGAAAGTGGATACGACGAATATGGTGCACGAGAAAGCGTCATTTGTGTTTGGTGGAAATATTGACTCTTTCATTGGTATTCTTGTTGTTGTTGTTGGGAGTCGTTGCAGCAATGGCATTCAAGTCTTGGAATAAGAAAGTGAAATGGGACCAGCACAACCTATATGAATTAGGTTTTCTTCTTCTTTCAGGTTCCGGCTACTATGGCAAAAACAGCGAAAACTTCTTGATAGCTACAAAGGCAAAAACGGTGAAGTCAAGATCCACCTGATCAATGATAGCTTCCTTGACTTATATCGTCCGAGCCTACTTGCAGCATTCCACCGTTTGGAAACGGTTGTTTTGTAGATTTGTCGAATACTCCAGACGACAGTAAAGTAAGTACAGTCGATTCAAGTTCCAAACGGCACGCCTATAACTTTGCAACAGGAAGAATCGGCAATATCATGATTGTAACGACGGCGGGCAGAGTCTGGTTTTTTCTCCTTCTGCACTATGCAAGGTGCCGGGTCCGTTGAGGTCACCGAGTTGAGTGCGTCGTCTACTTCGTAACTATGATCATGTGCTTGTCCTCTACCTGCGCATGGCCATAGGTTCTAATGGACATACCGTATATACACCTTTTTTTTATGATGCTTTCGTTTTTGTGATGAGATATTGATCACTCGGCGGGCTGTAAATGTCACATTTGTGTCCGGATGACGGGATAGTCACTGTGACCCGCATATATAGAAAAAAAAGACTATACTTCTGGAATTTACGAGAAACATATCTTGCACTATCAGTCACTCAGGCGGAACCTACGGTATATTGGACAGTTTGCTTCTACACACCTACTATAGTTCATCACTTGTTGACATCGTCTGAGAGACCCTCCATAGACGTGCCAAACTTTCATCGTACCAAGAAAGCGACGCGAACTTATACTACTACGCTCTTCACCGCCCTGCCTGAATCATTCATCTCAGTTTTCATAAAAGACACATCGTCAGCGATTCAACATATAAATCATGCCCAAAGAACGAAGTCCCGATGACGTCCATGATATTTTGAATGTAA